CCCCCGGCTCAGCACCCCCAGCAGCAGCACCCCCAAGCTCAGCACCCCCCGGCCTCGCACCCCCAGGCTCAGCACCCCCAGCAGCAGCACCCCCAAGCTCAGCACCCGCAGGCGTAGCACCCCCAGACTCTGCACCCGCAGCAGGACCAGACTCAGCAGCAACCTCGACTGGCTCGACTGTGTCTACCTGGGACACACCTGAAGGGGCAGGAACCTGAGGGGGGAGGGGGTCTACCGGGGGGGGAACTGGCACCAAGAAGTCCGGTGAGGGGGGGAGGGAAGGAGTACGGTAGGGGAAGAGGCGGTAGAAGGGGACTGACTCGTCGAACGTGACGTCCTGGGAGGACAGAACACGACGAGAGGAGGGGTGGTAGAACTGCCACCCTGGAGCGTCAAGGGGGAAGCCAAGGAAGACACAGGGAGCAGCACGGGGGGACAGCTTGTCTGCAGACAAGTCGCGGACAAACGCCCGAGATCCCCAGACACGGAACGCAGACGCATCGCCGACCTTCCCCGTCCACAGTAACACTGGGGACATCGCGGGCCGAGAGACCCTGGGGTGAAGGTTGAGCTGATGCGCCGCGTACCGAACCGCAAACGGCCACAGAAAATGGGGGGCAGCCGCATGCATCATGGACGTACGAGCGACATCCATGACCATGCCAATGCGGCGCTCAGCAATCCCATTTTGCTGTGGAGAGTCCGGAAGCGTAAAGGTCTGGCGGATCCCCTGTGCACGACAGTAGTCTCGCAGAAGGCGAGAGGAGAACTCCCCACCTCGGTCAGAGTGCAGACACAGAACAGGAAAGTCCGAGCCGAAGCTCCTCCTGAGCTGGAGACGAGCCTCGCGGATCCAGTCGATCAGCACCTCAGTGACAGCACCCTTGCTGCGCAAGGGGAAGACTGAGGTGTAACGCGAGTAGTCGTCAACCACCAACAGGAAGTAGCGCTCGTGACCCTGCCCACGGACGGGGGCCGGGCCCCACACGTCCATGTGAAGCGTCTGCAGAGGAGCCTCTGTCGGGGGAAACTGGGAGGAGTGAGGAGCAGCCCTGAGGCGCCCCTCGACACAGGGGACACAGGAAGGTCCTGGTCCCGAAGGAAGGGGAGGGAGAGACTGGGGAAGACCAGAGACAAGGACACGGGAAGCCATGCCCCGAAGACGGGGCAAGGAGGGGTGGCCTAGACGGTGGTGCCACAGAAGAGTCTCGTGAGACAGGAGGCGACACGAACAGGGGGCAGACTCAGGACCAGACCTGGACGCAGCAGCAAACACCTGACCCGACGCTGCTACCTGACCGGACGCGGGGACAGGAGGAGACTCAGTGGTCAGGGTGTAGAGGCTCGACCCCGGCCGACGCGAGAACGTGGCCAGGTGCCGGCCTGTGCGTGCGTCCGTGCAGTGGGTCACCCGCTGACTCGCAGGAGTGAACTGGTGAACCCCCGCATCCTGTAGGTCTGCACCACTCACCAAGTTCGTCGAGAACGAGGGGAGGTACAGGCCAGACAGGGTGCCCGAGGGGGCAGCCGGACACGGGAGGACAGTGGAGAAGTGAGCGAGGACAGGACCCCCAGAGGGGTCAGCCAGGGAGACAGCAACCGGCCGACCAAGCGGCGTGAGTGTGGTGCGGTCCCGAAAGAAGGAGCGAGAAGCCCCAGAGTCAAGTGTAAAGGTGAGGGAGGCCGAAGCCAACGCGGTACCTGAGAGCGCAGCCTCACCCGCACCTGAGGAAGCAGACTCACTAGCACCTAGAGCAGCAGCCGCACCTGTACCTGGAGCAGGAGACTCACTAGCACCCAGAGCAGCAGCCTTACCAGTAGCTAGAGCAGCAGGTCCTATACCTGGGTCAGGCGGGACGCACAGGTGACCGGCATGGTCAGCACTAGTAGGCAATGCATACATGGCAGTGAGAATAGCATCATAGTCAAGAGCATATATATCTACCCTCTGCCTAAGCAACTCCACCTAGTCGGGAAGCTCAGCCTCGTCGCCAAACACGGTACGCCAGGCGTCGCTCAGACGGGCGAAGCAGCGGGACTGTGTATGACTACGTGTCCCACAAGGCTGACCAGTCCGAGTACCAGTGCGAATCACGTAAGAGCAGCGAACAGCACTGAGAGACCCTCCACTCTGAGCGTACCACTCACGAAGCTGGCGAGGCGTGAGAGACACGCGAGAGGGTTGCGGGAGCTGCATCTGGCCGCCACCACGAGTAGAAGCAGCAGGAGTGGAAGTAGGAGTAGCGTCGCCACCCCTACAGCCCCAACCAGCGTACCACTCACGCAGCTGCTGGGGCGTGAGGGACTCACGCAGGCGTCGCTGGGGCTGCATCTGGCTCCGCAAGTAGAAGTAGGAGCAGGACTAGCAGCAGGAAGGCAGGCAGCCAGGCAAGCCAAAAGGCAGGCAGGCAGGCAAGCAGGCGACGCGCAGCGTGCTAGCAGGGCAAGAGCTCACCAGTGGTGGGAAGAGTAGGCTCGGCGACTCAGCGGCTCGGCAGCTTGGCGGCTCGGCGGCTCGGGCGACTCGGGCGGCTCGGCGGCAAGGCGGCTCGGCAGCAACTGCAGCTCAGCAGCTCGGTGACTCGGCGGCTCGGCAGCAGGGCGGCTTGGCAGCAACTGCAGCTCAGCAGCTCAGCGACCCGGTGGCTCGGCGGCAGGGCGGCTCGGCGGTGGGGCGGCTCGGCTGCTGCAGGTGAGCGATGAAGGAGGAGGAGAAGCAGGGGAGGCCACACACCTGCCACCCCTCTGCTGGCCTCTCCCGTCGCCTGTCGAGGCGACCTGAGGGGGCCGCTTGCGGTCCCCGAAGGAGCCGCGACGGGCGACGGGAAAAGGGGGGGTGGGTGGTGGGGGCCGGTAGGTGCAGCGGCGGGGCCAGCAGGTGCAGTTGCGGGGCCGGTAGAAGGGGACGGCAGCCTGGGCGGTCGTGGGCGGCTCACGCTGGGCGGGTGCACAGGCGGCTCGGCGGGCGGCGTACAGGCAGCTCACGGGCGGCTGCGACGGGCGGCTCGCGGGCGTCGGGCGCTAGGGCGCTGGGGCGACGACGGGCGGCGCTCAGGCGTCAGGGCGGGCGGCCGTCAGGGCGCTAGGGCGGGCGGCGCTCAGGCGTCAGGGCGGGCGGCCGTCAGGGCGCAAGGGCGGGCGGCGCTCGGGCGCTAGAGCGGGCGGCCGTCAGGGCACTAGGGCGGGCGGCCGTCAGGGCGCAAGGGCGGCGGCGCTCGGGCGCTAGGGCGGGCGGCCTTCAGAGCACTAGGGCAGATCGAAAAAAAAAAAGAGGTACTAGGGCCCGGAGCGCGCTCCGGGCAGGAAAAAAAAGGTTAAGAGGTAGCGGTGGTGGGCCCTACGAACAGTTCCCACAGGGGAACCTGCTCTGATACCATGTGAGAATAAGCGAACAGGAATGAATGAACTAGCAGTGAAATGAGTACAAGTAGGAAACCCTAGAATTGTGTACCCCCTATAGGCTAACCCACTGTAGCCTACACAAGCAGAACATATATAATGTTTGACACTGCTGGCTCTGGTCCTGCTGCGGGTGCTGTTGGTCCTGCTGGAGGTCCTGCAGCTGGCGGTGGTGTTGGCGCTGGTGCTGTCCCTGTTGTGTCTGGAGTCGCCGCGCGGCCTCGGCCGTACTTCGTTCCGCTCCTTCAGCAGGTTCTTGGTCTTCCTCCTCCCTTAGAGTGTCCACCGCCTGTCCAGTCCCAGTCACAGCTTCCGCCGGCCTCCCCATTGCCTGCTCCTTCTCCCTACACTGGTCCTAGTGGAGGTCTTGCTGAGCGTCGTGAGCCTGCGTCTCGTCCTGCGTCGCCTGTTCGTGCTGCTCGCACTAGTGGTCGCGGTTCGCGTCAGCGTCCTCCTCCTGTCCCTGGCACGCACCGGATGTCTCTGCGTCCGTCCACTGCTCCTCTGCGTGCCCCTTTGCCTTCTCCTCCTGAGTCCTCTCTTCCTGCACTTGCCGACCCGGAGTCGGACTCTCTTCGTGCTGCCAGTCCTACTGTCACGCGTCTCCTTGCTACTGTCGTCACTGACCCCTCCTTTGAGTCCACTACTGCGTCTGCTCTTGTTGCTGAGCTTGTCGAATTTGCTGCTCGCTGTCGACTAGACTACGCTGCTAGTCTTGTTGCTGAGTCTGCGTCTGTCTGTCCTCCGTCCGTCGGGGGTGAGTGTGCTCTTGGCACGGACGTCCTTGAGGACAGGTGTGAGAGGACGTCCCCGTTATAATATTTTCTCACTATTATATTTTTCCGTTATCCTATTCTCCCTTTTCTCCTCTTTATTTTGGTCTTTATCTCATCTCAAACGGCCTACTATTCTATTTTCTAGAGCCTTCTATTTATTTCTCTTATTTCCTACTTTTCCCACCGACATACCTAGTATACGGCACCGACAGCGCCGACAGTAGTGTATACGGTGTAATCTGGGCGTAATCCCAAGTGCCAATAGCCTTGCGTGCTTGTGCGCACTTGTGGTTATAGTATCGGGAAGGGCGTGTTCCCGAAGGTTCGTTTTATCTCGATTATCCTTGTATTCTCCGAGTATAAAAATGCCTTGTTTTCAGTTTTAGTGACAAGTTTCGATTGAGAATTCGATCTTGTGACACTTGGTAATCAGAGCCGTTCTCACTCGACAACTCTCGGCTAAGCAGCGGTCGCGGAAAAATGTCAAAATAAGGAACAGGAATGAAATGACTAAGGAAAGATTGGGTACAAATACAACCCTAGAAACCCTGTACCCCATATGTGCTACCCCACTATAGCCTACAAACATGCATCAGCTATAATACTCTGACACACCCCCATAGGCTAAGTGGGGGAGAACAAGGGGTCACAAGACCAGTCAAGCAAAGCAAAGCAAAGCAAGCTCAGGGTGGATCACAAAGTCACCACACAGTCCGAGCACAAGAGCAGGGCCAGCGGCCAGTTCACATGCAGGAGTACAGACATATATATAAAACTAGACAAGCAAGAGCAGGTATATATATATATGTCACAGTACAAGTGAAGTCAAGAGGAGAGCAAGTGAGGCAAGACAGGTACAAGACCCAGCTGGGTGCAAAAGCGCTGATGGTCACAAGGCGCGAGTGCCTTGGTGAACACATCAGCAGTGTTGGCCTCAGAGGCCACGTACGCAAGTCGCAACTGACCACGCTGCTGCAGCTCACGAGCAAGGAAGTAGGGGAGAGCAATGTGCTTCGTTCTGTGCTCCAAGCGCTGCTCTCGACACAAGGCCAGCATGGCCTTGTTGTCTACGTACAGCACTGGAAGAGAACGAGGCGGCTCTCCAAGGTCAGTCAGCAGGTAGGTGAGCCAGCGAAGCTCCTGTGCAGCCATGGCCCCGGCGTAGATCTCAGCCTCACAACTGGAGCCGAGAACTGAAGACGAGCGAGTAGACCGCCACGAGACAGAGCCAGAACCAAGGCTGAAGGTGTAACCCTGTGACGACCGCTGCGTAGCCTGGTCGTCAGCCCAAGAAGCGTCAGCGTGGCCGGTAAGGACCACTGGACTCCGCCCTCCAAGCACTAGCCCCATGCCCGACGTACTGCACAGGTAGCGCAATACCCTCTTCGCTGCAGCCATGTGCTCCGGTCTGTGTCTCCCAGGAGCAACATAGCGTGCAAGAATGCTCAGAGGGTATGCAAGGTCAGGTCGTGTGCAGGTCATCAGGTACATGAGGCAGCCAACAAGCTCTGCATACGGACCACTCGACTCTACGGACTCATCCGAAGGCAGAGCTGAGAGTGAGTGGCGAGTAGGCAGAGGAGTGGCCTGAGGCGAGGAGTACGTGAAGCCGAAGCGCTGAAGGACCTGCTGCACCATGTGTGACTGAGTCAAGGTAATGGTGCGGCGTGCTCTGTCCCGAGTGATCTGCAAGCCAAGGTAGCTGCGCAGTTCACCCAGGTCTGTGCACGTGTGTCTCTTCAGCAGCTCGGACTTCATGTAGGCGAGTCCAGCAGTGTCCGCTGTGGCAAAGACCAAGTCGTCGACGTACACGAGGATGTAGAACGGCGGCAGGGAAGTGTCGGTGCGAAGAAACAGCGACGGGTCAGCAGTAGAAGGAGCAAACCCAAGAGCCGCAAGCGTAGTCCTCAGTGTGTCGTGCCACTCACGCGGTGCCTGGCGGAGACCGTAGACTGGCCGTCGGAGGCTCCACTGGGTGCCAGGAGGGAAAGTCCCTGTGAAGCCAGGTGGACGGTGAAGCCAGATCTCCTCGTGCAGGCTACCCTGCAAGAACGCAGTGCTGAAAACGAGAGAGTGAAGCTCGTAGTCGCGCTGAGCCGCTATGTGCAGCAGCACCCGAAGAGTAGTCATCTTCGGGGTGGGAGAGAAGGTCTGAAAGTAGTCAACTCCCTGCCGCTGACTGAAGCCACGAGCAACGTACCGTGCCTTGAAGACAGGTGGAGAGCCCGGCGGCCGCTTCACCCTGAAGATCCACATGCCACTGACGATGTTCGCCCCAGGAGGGGGAACCGCGTCAACGTAGGTGCCTGTGGACTTCCAGGAAGCCATCTCTGCATCCATAGCTGCCTGCCACTGAGAGGAGTAGGGACCCTCTACGGCCTCCGCGTAAGAACGCGGAGTCGGGATGTCTAGTGCATCCGGGTCTCCCTCAGGGGCAAGCAGTACAGACGCAAGATGAGGTGAAGCAGCCGCTAGACACTGTAACTCCTCCTGCCTGTCCTCTAGGACGTCCGTGCCAAGAGCACACTCACCCCCGACGGACGGAGGACAGACAGACGTAGACTCAGCAACTAGACTAGCAGCATAGTCGAGGCGACAGCGAGCAGCAAAGTCGACGAGCTCAGCGACTAGAGCAGACGCAGCAGTGGACTCAAAAGAGGGGTCAGTGACGACGGTAGCAAGCAGACGCGTGACAGTAGGGCTGGCAGCACGAAGAGAGTCCGACTCAGGGTCGGCAAGTGCAGGAAGAGAGGACTCCGGAGGAGAAGGCAAAGGGGCACGCAGAGGAGCAGTGGACGGACGCAAAGACATCCGGTGCGTGCCAGGGACAGGAGGAGGACGCTGACGCGAACTGCGACCACTAGCGCGAGCAGCACGAACAGGCGACGCGGGACGAGACGCAGGCTCACGACGCTCAGCAAGACCTCCAGTAGGACCAGTGTAAGGAGAGGGAGCAGGCAATGGAGAGGACGGCTCCAGCAGGGACTGCGACTGGACAGGCGGTGGACCCTCTACTAGAGGAGAAAGACCAAGAACCTGCTGCAGGAGCGGAACGAAGTACGGCCGAGGCCGCGCGGCAGCTCCAGACTCAGCAGGGACAGCACCACCACCCTCAGCGACAGCACCAGCGCCACCCACACCTCCAGCGGTAGGACCAACAGCAGTAGGCTCAGCACCAACGCCCTCAGCAGCTCCAGCTCCAGGAGGACCAGTAGGTCCAGCAGCTCCGGGACCGGCAGCACCCGCACCCTCGACGGTCGAAGAAGCTCCAGCTCCAGCTCCAGCAGCACCTCCAGACTCAGCAGCACGCCTCCAGCGGCGAGCGAACCACTCGCGCAGCTCCTGTGGAGAGAGGGGCTCCCGGCGAGACGTAGCAGCAGGAGAAACCCCAGGCTCAGCAGCTCCAAACGCAGTACCCCCAGGCTCAGCAGCTCCGAGCTCAGCACCCCCAGGCTCAGCAGCTCCCGACCCAGCACCCCCAGACCCAGCACCTCCAGGCACACTACCCCCCAGCTCAGCACCCCGAGGCTCCGCACCCTCCGCAGTAGCACCCTCAGGCTCAGCACCCCCAGAAGTAGCACCCCCAGGCTCAGCACCCCCGCGTACAGCACCCCCAGAGTCAGCACCCCCAGGCTCAGCACCCGCAGCAGCACCAGAGTCACCAGTAACCTCGACCGGGTCAACGGCGTCTACCTGGGACACACCTGAGGGGGCAGGAACCTGAGGGGGGAGGGGGTCTACCGGGGGGGGAACCGGCACAAGGAAGTCCGGGGGAGGGGGGAGGGAAGGAGTGCGGTAGGGGAAGAGACGGAAGAAGGGGACTGACTCGTCGAACGTGACGTCCTGAGAGGACAGAACACGACGAGAGGAGGGGTGGTAAAACTGCCACCCTGGGGCGTCAGTGGGGAAGCCAAGGAAGACACAGGGAGCAACACGAGGGGACAGCTTGTCCGCAGACAAGTCGCGGACAAACGCCCGAGATCCCCAGACACGGAACATAGACGCATCGCCAACCTTCCCCGTCCACAGCAAGGCTGGGGACATCGCAGGCCGAGAGACCCGGGGGTGAAGGTTGAGCTGATGCGCCGCGTACCTCACCGCAAACGGCCACAGAAAATGGGGGGCAGCCGCATGCATCATGGACGTACGAGCGACATCCATGACCATGCCAATGCGGCGCTCAGCAATCCCATTTTGCTGTGGTGAGTCCGGAAGCGTGAAGGTCTGGCGAATCCCCCGTGCACGACAGTAGTCCCGCAGAAGGCGAGAAGAGAACTCTCCGCCTCTGTCCGAGTGCAGACGCAGAACAGGAAAGTCCGAGCCGAAGCTCTTTCCTGAGCTGGAGACGAGCCTCGCGGATCCAGTCGATCAGCACCTCAGTGACCGCACCCTTGCTGCGCAAGGGGAGGACTGTGGTGTAACGCGAGTAGTCGTCAACCACCAACAGGAAGTAGCGCTCGTAACCCTGCCCACGGACGGGGGCTGGGCCCCACACATCCATGTGAAGCGTCTGCAGGGGAGCATCTGTCGGGGGGAAGTGGGAGGAGTGAGGAGTAGCCCGGAGGCGACCCTCAACACAGGGGACACAGGAAGGTCCTGGCCCGGAGGGGAGAGGAGGGAGAGACTGGGGAAGACCAGAGACAAGGACACGGGAAGCCATGCTCCGAAGACGGGGCAAGGAGGGGTGGCCAAGACGGTGGTGCCACAGGAGAGTCTCGTGAGACAGGAGGCGACAAGAACAGGGGGCAGACTCAGGACCTGACCGGGACGCAGCAGCAAGCACCTGACCCGACGCAGCCACCTGACCAGACGCAGGGACAGGAGGAGACCCAACGGTCAGGGTGTAGAGACTCGACCCCGGCCGACGCGAGAACGTGGCCAGGTGTCGGCCTGTGCGTGCCTCCGTGCAGTGGGTCACCCGCTGACTCTCAGGAGTGAACTGGTGAACCCCCACATCCTGCAGGTCCGCTCCACTCACCAAGTTCGTAGAGAACGAGGGAAGGTACAGACCAGACAGGGTGCCCGAAGGGGCAGCCGGACACGGGAGGACAGTGGAGAAGTGAGAAAGGACAGGACCCCCAGAGGGGTCAGCAAGGGAGACCGCAACCGGCCGGCCGAGCGGCGTAAGGGTAGTGCGGTCTCGAAAGAAGGAGCGAGAAGCCCCGGAGTCAAGTGTGAAAGTGAGGGAGGACGAGGACGACGCAGTACCTGAGAGCGCAGTCTCACCAGTACCTGAGAGTACAGACGCACTGGCACCTAGAGCAGCAGCCTCACAAGCACCTAGCGCAGCAGTACCAATGCCCGGGTCGGGCTGGAAACACCGGTAACCCTCATTCTCCTCACTATAATCCACAGCATACATAGCAGCAAGGATAGCATCAAAATCAAGATCAAAGATCGCTACACCAGCCCTTAGAAGCTCATCCCAGCGAGGGATCTCACTAGCCCCAGGGAACTGCCGACGCCAAGCGTCCGTCAGGTGGCCAAAGCAGCGCTGGGTGGCGTGGGCACCCCCACACTGCTCACCCGCGCGGTCGCTGGAACGAAGAACGTAGGTGCAGGGACCAGCACCCCCACCCCTCTGACGCCCAGCGTACCACTCACGAAGCTGCTGAGGCGGAGGGATGTCCCGCGAGCGCTGCTGCTGCTGCCGCTGCGAGCGCTGGCCACCACCACCGCCGCTACGCTGCTGGGTACCACCCCGACCAGCTCCACCTCCTCCACCACCACCGCCTCCTCCGCTGCCGCCTCCACCGCCTCCACCTCCGCCGCCTCCACCCCCGCCGCTGCCTCCACCACCACCGCTGGCACCACCACCACCGTCTCCGCCGCTGCTGCCACCACCACCACCACCCCCGCCACTAGTCCCGCCGCCACCCCCACTCCCTCCGCCGCCACCGCCGCCACCGCCACCGCCCCCTCCAGCTCCACCCGCGCCCTTGCCCCCCTTGCCCTTGCTGGAGCGACGTCTCCCACTAGGGGTAGACGCCGCGCCGACCGACTCAAGACCAAGCAGGTCGGCAGCAGCAGCAGAGGCAACAGAGGGCAGCAAGGGGGAAGGAGAGCACCCCTCAAAGATGGGGGTGCGAGGGTCACCACGAGAAGCACCTACAGCGACTATGCTCGTCTCCGCTGCGAGGAGGGCCTTCTCGAGGAGGTCGACGGTGAGGGTGGTGGGACAGACTGCGAGAAAGTGGTCCCTGACGACGCGAAGGGAGTCAGGGAGGCGCGCGACTACGTAGTAGAGAGCGATGTACATGGGGGGTGGGTTCTTAGCGCAGAGCTCAGCAGGAAGGGCGGCGCGGTAGCGAGTGTCACTAGTGCGGAGGTGCGTAATGAGGTCAGCAACAGTGGGAAAGGCAGAGAGGTCAGGAAAGAGGTAGGGAAGCATGAGACGGCTCAGTGCAGCAGTGGCAAGGGAGGAGTAGCGCGCAACTACAGCGTCGTACAAGGTCTGAGCACTCTTGTACTGACTAAAGTGCGCGCGCTCAGAGGTAGGGAGGTGGCGACGCACAGCAAGACGTGCAGCAGCATCGCGGGTGGCCCACTGAGAGCGGACAGTGGGATCAGCATCAGTAGCAGGAGCAGGAGAGGCGCCAGAGGTGAGGTCAAAAAGAGAAAGGCCGTCAGCCCTGTCGCACTGTAAGAACAGCTGCAGGTCGTCTAACCAGACCTCAAAATCAATGGCGCGACCCTCAGCGTCAAAAGCTAGGACACTATGGGTAGCCATGGCGACGACAGCGACGCAGTGCAAGCAGTAGGGAAGGAGCTCGCAGTGTCAGTGGGACTGTGCTCACCAGGCAGGGCAGGTCGTGCAGCTCCGCAGAAAGGCGGCTCAGCGACCGGGCGGCTCGGGTGCACAGCGGCTCGGCTCCCAGGCGGCTCGGCGGCAGGGCGGCTCGGGTGCAGGGCGGCTCGGCTCCCGGGCGGCTCGGCGGCAGGGCGGCTCGGGTCCCGGGCGGCTCGGCGTTGGGCAGCTCGGCTCCCGGGCGGTTCGGCTGCTGGGGCGGCTCTGCTGCTGGGGCGGCTCGGCCGGGAGATGCAGGGGCGGGGCCGTCAGGTGCAGTGGCGGGTCGACCGGTGCAGCGGCGGGCCGGCAGGTGCAGCGGCGGGCCGGCAGGTGCAGCGGCGGGGCCGTAGGGTGCAGCGGCGGGCCGACCAGGTGAGGCGGCGGGCCGTAGGGTGAGGCGGCGGGCCGTAGGGTGAAGCGGCGGGCCGTAGGGTGCAGCGGCGGGTCAGCAGGTGCAGCGGCGGGCCGGCAAGTGAGGCGGCGGGCCGACCAGGTGAGGCGGCGGGCCGTAGGGTGCAGCAGCGGGCCGGCAGGTGCAGCGGCGGGCCGGCAGGTGAGGCGGCGGGCCGACCAGGTGAGGCGGCGGGCCGTAGGGTGCAGCGGCGGGCCGTAGGGTGCAGCGGCGGGCCGGCAGGTGCAGCGGCGGGGCCATCAGGTGAAGCGGCGGGCCGCTGGGTGCAGCGGCGGGCAGGCAGGTGAGCGGCGGGCCGGCAGGTGCAGCGGCGGGGCCGTCAGGTGAGGCGGCGGGCCGTAGGGTGCAGCGGCGGAGCCGGCGGTGGGGCCGCGTCAGTGGAGGCGGCGGGGCCGCGTCAAGCAGGCGGCGGGGCCGCGACGAAGCGGGCGGCAGGGCCGCGTCAGAGTCGGCGGCAGGGCCGCGTCAGTGGAGGCGGCGGGGCCGCGTCAAGCAGGCAGCGGGGCCGCGACGAAGCGGGCGGCAGGGCCGCGTCAGAGCCGGCGGCGGGGCCGCGTCAAGCAGGCGGCGGGGCCGCGATCAGGAGGGGTGGCGGGGCCGCGTCTGAGGGACAGCGGGGCCGCGAGGGAAATGGCGACCCGAGGGGTCGCTAAAAAAAGGGCGCGCCTCGGGGCGCGCTTCGGTGGGCCCTGAAAAAACGGTCCTAAGGAAGGACCCGCTCTATACCATGTCAAAATAAGGAACAGGAATGAAATGACTAAGGAAAGATTGGGTACAAATACAACCCTAGAAACCCTGTACCCCATATGTGCTACCCCACTATAGCCTACAAACATGCATCAGCTATAATACTCTGACAAAAAAATCGCCTCGAAAAACCGCCGGGGGCAACCAATTCGACGCCGATTTCTGGTAAGCACCAGTTCCACGCTTTTCGAATTAACCCCCTCATGTGGTTTCTGAACAGGATGGTTTCACCGGCGACCAACGACGTTACGCAGCAGCTCTTCGCGCAAATCGCGAAGATAGAAGCGGAGATGCGAGCGATGACTGAACGGTCGCGATTGGAGAACGAGCAGATGCGAAACGAGCTGCAGCGCGTTACGCAACTCCTCTCGACTATGAACATTCCTGCTTCGACGACTTCGCAGCAGTCGCAGCGTCAGTTCGAGGTTCCGAAACTTCGCTCGCCGGAATCGTTCGACCCTAGCGATCGAAAATCCGACGTCAGGCGGTGGCTCGCGACGATGGAAATTTATTTCGCGGCGATCGGATGGTCGACGACGGAGTACGACGGCGAGAAAATTCGTCTCGCGACAACGTTGATGCGCGGTCCAGCTCTCGAGTGGCTCGGAAGCAACAGTAGCATTTTCCAGGGCGAAGCCACGTGGCAGCAGTTCCGGGCAGACCTTCTCAAACGTTTTGAGCCGATTAATTCCACTTATATTGCGCGCGAAAAATTACATCACCATAGGCAATACGGGAGTGTCGCGCAATACACGCAGCAGATGGAGGAATTTTATAATCGCATTCCCGACATTACCGAGGGCGAAAAAAATTCAGTCCTACATCGCGGGGCTGAAAACCGACATTCGGCGCCAGATTGCAGCAGCGAATTGCAGCAGCTACAGCGAAATCGTATCGGCCGCGGAGCGTTTTGACTTGGTCAACTCCGGGACACGACGACCCCACGTCGTCGGATCACGACAAGGGGATCGCTCGGCTTCAACCACGTTCGCCGACCCCATGGAAGTCGACAAATTCGACGCGAATTCAAGACCTGCAAAAAACAAAACGATTTGTGAATTTTGCGGCGGAAACGGACATCGGATTGTCGACTGCTTTCACATGAAATCAGCACGTGCGGCATTCCGAGCTCGTGGGAGTGGCGAAACTAAAGACAAAAAGTCAAAAAACGGATCTCGCCAGTGATTGCGGATCGGGCTGGCGAGGAAAAGCAGATCCGAAAGCGTCAGCGCAATCTGGACCGAATCGAAATTGAAGGACAGCATTGGGCGCGAGATTTGGAGAATCAAGGGCGAAATCCCAAGCCCCTTGACCGAAATTTGTCAGAGGAATTCGCCGAGGAAAAGAAAACCTCCGCGAAAACAGACTCGACCAAGACGGGAACTCTCCAATTCGACCCCGGAAAAAAACAGAATTCGTTAAAGTTATCTTTCAAAGATGTTTTAAGGAAGACTGGCGATTTTCGCAGGTCCGGAGCCATAAACAAATTCCGGGAAGAACTCCAGAGGAAGCAGACAATTAAAGAAGTGGTACCGGTGCCTACGGAGCTGGGGAAAAAAATAAGGAGTGTGGAAAGGAGTAGACCTTTTCACGGCGTCAACGTCCTCTCCCGGAACCAGCCCAAGACGACTCTCCACTCCCCAGGGAAGAAGTATATGGAGCTGAAGCAGCTGAAGAAGCAGCTGGGAGTTCAAAAGAAGCTGCAGAAACTCGGAAAACCCCTCCAGGATGCATCCAGTGGATCGCAGGCGTCGACCCGATCCACCCCCTCAGGGTCAACCTGTACGGTTACTACCTCTACTCCTGGCGTTGGAGAGGAGCCTTTCTCCACGCAACCCAGGCCAGCTAGTTGTCCAGGAGAAAACAGTGGAACCACGGTGTGTACTGAATATTGGGATGTACCCTATGATCCTATGAATGAGACTATTTTTGGGTACTCCGAGCAACGCTCACCACTCCTGCTCGAGGTGATCTGCAACGGACAGCGCCTCCAAGCACTCGTGGACAGCGGGGCGTCGCACTGCGTCTATGACAAAAAGGCAATCGATCGACTCGGAAGTGACATCAAGTCCTCAAGCTTCTCTGCAACGATGGTGGATGGCAGTAAGCTACCTATCTACGGGGAAACACGGTTGCTACTCCAGATTGGACCCCTTCGATGGAAGCCTGCTCTCCCCGTCACAAATATCAAAGGACTCGACGTAATCTTCGGGAGAGACTTTCTTAAAAAATTCAACCCCGAGATCAACTGGGTTAACCGGACGGCCAACATCAACAACAACGGGAGGAAAATCAGCCTTCCCAAATGGGAAGACACGGGAAATATTCCAGTCGAGACACTCGCACGCTTTGAAAAGGACGTCAAACGGACTACGACGGGATTCATGGCGATAGTCAACGAAGCAGACAACGGAGAGAAGCAGACCCAGGAACTTCCTCCAGCAGTCAAGAAAATTCTTGAAGAGTTCCAGGACGTTCTCCCCGACGATTTACCTGATCAACTACCGCCATACCGGTCGCATCAAGACGAGATCGTAGAAGAGCCGGGGTCCAAGCCAACGTTCCGAGCACCATACCGGCTGAGCCCGACAGAGTTTGCCGATATGAAAAAACAAATAGAGTATCTCCTGGAGAAAGGGTTGATTCGACCTTCGACTTCACCGTACGGAGCTCCAGTTCTCTTCACTCCGAAGCCAGACGGAAGTCTGCGAATGTGCATCGACTACCGAGCCTTGAACAAGCAGACTGTAAAAAATAAATACCCGATACCACGGATCGACGACTTACTCGATCAACTTCGCGGTGCTACGGTATTCTCCAAGCTCGACCTTAGATCGGGATACTGGCAAATTCGTATGGCGGACAACTCTATCCACAAAACCGCCTTTCGAACTCGGTATGGGTCATACGAGTATCTCGTAATGCCATTCGGACTCACTAACGCACCAGCCATATTTCAGGCAGAAATGAACCACATCCTTCGGCCCCTTCTGGACAAGTGCGTGGTGGTATATTTGGACGATATCCTGATCTACTCGAAAGACATGAAGAAGCACGTTGAGCATCTGCAACGGGTGTTTGAAATTCTTCGACGAGAATGCTTCTACGTGAAACTATCCAAGAGCGAGTTTGCGTTGAAAAAAGTCCAGTTCCTTGGATATATGGTGAGTGCTCAAGGAGTTCACGTGGATCCTAAGAAGATCGAAGCAGTGCGAACGTGGAAGACCCCTGAGAACGTGAAGGAGTTACAACAGTTCCTTGGATTCGCCAACTACTACAACCGGTTCGTACCGAACTACGCCAAGATTGCCGCACCATTAACGAACCTGTTGAAGAAGAATACACCATATCAATGGGAGGCGAAGCACCAGGAAGCCGTGGAACAACTTAAAACCGCACTCACGTCCGCACCTGTCCTTATCCTGCCAGACCCTGAACTTGACTATGTCATCGAGGCCGATGCGAGCGATCAAGCAGTGGGCGCAGTACTCATGCAGGATCAAGGGAAGGGAGTGCAACCCATTGCATACCTCAGTAAAAAACTTCACGGGGCAGAACTCAATTACCCCATCCATGACAAAGAGGCCCTCGCCATCGTCAACGCATTTAAGGCATGGAGGTGTTATCTCGAAGGAAGAAAAACGACCGTCTACACCGACCACTGCAGCCTCAAGTACCTGAAGACCCAACCAACACTCTCCAGGCGACAGGTCCGGTGGATTGACTTTCTCGAAACCCACTTCCATTACGACATCGTGTATAAGCCGGGGCACAAGAACAA